ACAAAGGAGCTGTGGGAGAAGAGGTCCTATTTTTTGCTTCCTGGTTTTGGATGTTGATGCATAAGAATGTGAACATGCACCTACTGTAGTGATCCTACAGCCAATGGGAGAGCACTGAGAGGGTCCCTGCAGTGAGCCACTGAGAGGGTCCCTGCAGTAAGCCAGTGAACCCTGACATTGCCACGCCCTGATGCATGTGTTCTTGGAATGGCCTGTGTTCTTGTTTCTTAGTAGTCATGAAAAATAAGCTCTTTTTGTTTAAGCAGGCTTCAGCTTGGGTTTTTGTAACTTGCAGCCAAAAGCATTCCTAGTGAATACAATTTTAAACCCAATCTTCATACATACCTCCAGGATTTCCCCATTTCAGTTCATTCTCCACACTGACAGAGTAGCCATCTTTCTGAAATGCCAAGCTGATTATGCCACCCACCCCTAGCTGAGTGCATTAGGGGTACCCTTTGCTTCCACGGCTCATACAGTTTCACATGCCCCCGATTACGTTTTCAGTCTCAGATTCTGTTAATTCTCCTGTCACTATGGCTATGGTCCCTTTGAATTGTCTGTGACTCCTGGAAGACACTATAGTATTTAACACCTTTGAGACTTTAAAACCCTTCTTTCTGGAATATTCCCTAAATCCACTATCCCCCTAACAAATACTCACCCATTTTCAAGACCCAGCTCAAATATTTATCCCTTCCATAAGGAAGCTTTCCATGGCCATTACCCCTTAGTTCAAGGAGACTTGTATCACTTTCTCCATCATCCCTGAAGTCTACAGAAGGCAGTATGGACTTTCAGGGTAAAATGTATAACATTGTTTATTCATTTATTTATCATTTTCCTTTTAATTACCATTTCTCATTCATCTTCAGATCCCTAGAACCTAACAACATACCTGGAACACAGTAGATGTCTAATAAATGTCTGTAAGAATAAGTGTTTGAAAAGATAAATGGAAAGATCATGTTTGTATTACAGAGTAACCACTGACATATTTTAAAACTCATTTAAAACATTCCCTTGTAATTTCTCTCTCATTACTAATGAATTATAATATTTTGAAGCTGGAAACTTTATCTGTGAAGCTTACAAGACAAGAACTATCTTACTGTGCATGCTGAAATTGACTCTAAGATCTGTACACAGTATGTTTTTTGCTCCTTTGTAGAAAATCAAAGAGCAAGATTTTCTCCTGTCTTTATTCATGTCAGACGTTATTTAAAATCAAAGAAATATGAAAAGAGAAATCAAGTTATTTATTAAATAATATCTTAAGATTGTTATTAAAAAAGAAAGGGGTCATGAACTTTACCCAAACCAATAAGTATCCAGTAATGATTAGTCTATTTTTTTAAAATTTTTTTAAAAGATTTTATTTATTTATTTGACAGAGAGAGAGAGATAGCAAGAGCAGGAACACAAGCAGGGGGAGTGGGAGAAGGAGAAGCAGGCTTCCCACTGAGCAGGGAGCCCGATGCGGGGTTCGATCCCAGGACTCTGGGATCATGTCCTGAGTCAAAGGTAGACGCTTAATGACTGAGCCACCCAGGCACCCCAGTAATGATTAGTCTAATACTGAGTCATTTTTTATGTGACCATATAATATTTTTCTTTTTATCAAACCTCCATGTCACATGACCCTGTTTTTTTCAGAAACTCACAAAAGCTAGACATTTTTACTGCAACTGGTTTAGACAGCTATTGCTTTCTACTGAGGGGTTCCCTACATCACACTTCCCCTCCTGTTGGGAGGCTCTGGAGGGCCATGGGTCTTTTTGGCATCTGGCTTAAAGAGAGGTTGACTAGGAGATACATTTAATTTGGATATGGGGGGATAGATTTATGTGGTTTGCAGTCACTTCTGAGTCTCATTAGGCTATTTTGAGACATCCTTGTGTGGGAATGGCTTCCAGGAATTCTTTACCAACCACTCCCCAATTAACCCAAAGTTTTTGACTTGAAGATGTAGGACCAGAGGTCATATGTCAGTATGAATTTGCTCCATGGCATTCAGCACAGGATGAGTAGTAGAGAAAACAGTTTGAAATGATGGAGTCAGAAGCTAGTCTATGGAAAAAATATTATAGAAGTATGGCAAGCAGTTAAGTAGTAAAAATACACCTTTTGGAATTTTGTAATATTTATGATTTTTGTTAGTGTTTAATTTTTCTAATTTCTTTTAGCATTTAACAAATGTTTAATTTTGTACTTAATTTTATATTTTTTATGTTCTTTTTCATAAAGTGGGTTCTCAACATTGTATAAACTGCATGCCTTACAAAACCTAGATCTTCCCTAGATATACGTATGTCAGAATATAGTTTCCATAGAACCGATGCAGGATTAAGCTAGCTATTAGTTTTGTTATTTTTAATTTTTATTTTATTTTATTATATTTCCAGTTCAGCCACTTCATAGAGGAGGAGGACACAAATAAATCCTCCCTCTTCAGATCACTGCAATTTTAATCTATACCAAATTAGTTATGTTTTTAAATGACTTGCTGATAATGTGTCTCCCTAAAACTTTCTTGTGTTAGGAATTTTGTAGACTTTCTAGAGAAAATTCAGGATATTTGCTATAAATAGGGCCTAAGTTTTTATTTTTTTTAAATTTTAAAAATATTTTATTTATTTATTTGAGAGAGAGAGAAACTAGAGAAAGTGAGTGCACAAGAAGTAGGGAGGGGCAGAGAGAGGAAGCAGCAGACTCCCTGCTGAGCAGGGTTGCATTCCAGGACCCCAGGATCACGACCTAAGGCAAAGGCAGACGCTTACCTGCCTGAGCCACCCAGGTGCCTCAAGGTCCTAAGTTTTTAAAAAGATGGCATATTTTAATTTTTATTCACCCTTACTACTCAGATACAGAGCTGGGTATTGTGCCATGGAGGGCATAGCTAATATCTTGCCAGATTGGGTAAGCAGGTGAGGGGAGAATTCATTTCAACAGAGCATCATAATTGAACTTTGACAAATCTTTTTTTCCATCCCATTGTATAATGCTATTTTTTGTTTCATTTTTCTTTTTCTCTAAGGTTATCATTTCTTTCTTTCTTTCTTTCTTTCTTTCTTTCTTTCTTTCTTTCTTTCTTTCTTTCTTTTCTTTTCTTTTTTTTTTTTTTGGTTTTCTTTATGGAGTAGAGCAATATGATGAGAGTAGAAAGATAGTGTAAATCATTCTGTGACTTTCAGGGAAGGACCTGCTCTTGAATACCTTTATATTTTGGGAGCAAAGCTAATTTTAATTCCCTGATCTTATTTAGCTGTAAGTCACATGAAGTGTTCGAATTTTAAGTGCTGAATCAACCTAGGTGGTCATGGCGCTTTGTTCTTGAAGAAAGATGGTAGTGGAGCACCATGTGTTTTCAAAAATGCCTCTCCTGTAATTAATCAATTAGTGGTTTGAATGCTGGCATAGTTTTGTATTTTTCCAGGTGTCGCGCCTTGCCTTTGGATTCAACCTGTGACTTCTGTGTACTCCTAGAAATTTAGGTCTTTGTTGCTGGTGACAGGGCGGAAAGCTACCTCTGGGATCTACAATAAAATTTTGGGGTCCAGTATGTAATACATATTCTTTCCATGGTCTTCTAAGAATGATTCGTTATAGCTCTGTGCCTTTCTGTTTCTGTGTGGTATGTGCTCTTCTGCTGTATATTCTCTAAGTTTTCTACCAAGTGCCGTTATGGGCAATCTCAATGCAAATATCTGGAATAGTTTATGAGGTCTTTCATGACCCAAAGTAGTTTTCATCAATCTTGTCCCTTCTTTCACTCCTATTTGAGAACTAAATTTCTATTTAGAGGAATGACTTTCCTTCCTGGTCCTGGGAGGAAATGTTGACTTAATATGCCACCTAGCCTTTCACAAGATTGTCATATTTGTCAGATAATCTGCTTTTATTAGATCCAGCAAAAAAAAATATACGTTTCAGGATAAAATTTGCCATTCATTTTTCTGTTTTTTACTTCGTTATTATTTTCAATATTTATTTTAAAAAGAAATCATATTGATTTAACCATTCATTTCAAGGGGCGCTTGGGTGGCATAGTTGGTTAAGTGGCTGGGTCTTGGTTTTGACTCAGGTCATGATCTCAGGGTCCTGAGATCAAGCCCCACATCAATTTCCACATTGGGCTCTGGACTCCCTGCTCAGCATGAACTCTGCTTCAGGATTCTCTCTCTCCCTCTGTCCCTCCCCCAGCTCACTTGTGAGCTCTCTCTTTTTCCCTCTCTCTAAAATAAATACATCTTTTAAAAAATTTAACCCACAAAAACTCCATTTTTTTTACAATTATAAGATTATTAGTTCAGGCAGTGGTCTCAAAATGTGATGTTAGATATAGTTCAGGTGGGGATTATAATTAAGATTAAATTTTTAACCAGTTTTTAAGACAGAGTAGCTATATATAGGGAAAAAAAATAAAAAAGGAGGCTTTCCTATGAGCCCTATGGCATTTGTTTTGCACAGTACCGAAAAAAGAATTCTTTAACCAAGTGAATACTAAGAAATAACTCGAGTTTTAGTTGGACTCACTATGTATTATCACTTCATTTATTAATTTATTCCAACACATATTTATTGAATTCTACCCTGTGTGTTGTGGAAATTCAGTGAGCAAGAGGACTGAATAAGAGTTAACAACCTCAGAACATTTCTTCGTTTTATAAAGCCTGCTTACAAAGAATTATATCTAGGGTCTATAGGAGCCAGTGCTTTGAAGTCACTGCAATACATTTTTAGTGAAGGACACACTTTGAAGGGATCCTATCCTTGTATTCTATGATGCGAGAGCTTTCTTAATCGGCTGTAAAGACATCTAACACAAGAGCAAATCAAATTAATGAGCTTTTTTGTGGTCTCAAGAATGAAAATTGGTGTCAAGAATGAAAATGAAGCCCTTGTGTTTTTAACCACACCCCACAGCCAGGGTATATAAAGAAGGTTCTGAGACTGAGGACTCATCACACAGAGGAGACACAGTCCCCTGCCACCTGAGCCCTCCACTCCTGACACCATGTACTGCAACACCTTCTCCGGGGCCGTCTTCCCAGGATGCTACTGGGGCAGCTACGGCTACCCCCTGGGGTACAGCGTGGGCTGTGGCTACGGCAGCACCTACTCCCCAGTGGGCTACGGCTTTGGTTATGGCTACAATGGCTGTGGGAACTTCGGCTACAGAAGATACTGGCCATATGATCTCTACTGATTTGCTGAAATTGCTGAGGCGTAGAATCTTTTCTCCCAAGGCTGAGAGGCGCCCCTCCACGTCCCTCCTTTACTTCCTTCTTGAGTCCTCCTTTGCTCCTTCACCTCCCAGTTGCTGCTTCTCAGACCTAGCACCAGAGTCCAGAGGGAAGGAGATGAAAAAGGAGATGACACCTCCAGCTGCCCTCCCTGGATGATGTTCTTTGAGACATTTTCAGAAACTTGATGCCCAAACATGTATTTCTTCTGAATTTTTCACCACGCTCATGACTCTTGATAAAGTTGTGGATATGTGTGTTGAATTCTCAATAAACTTGTCTCAATCAGCATAATACTCTCACCTGAGCAGTTTCCTTTCTTGGTGTGTACATATTTTCTGTTACATTGAGTGGGGAGGGAAGTGGATTTATTTTTCTCATGTGGGCTTTAAGAGCAATAAGAAAGCAAATAATCCTTGATCTGGTGTGATAAACAGGCAAGAAGGGGCTACTTGTAAAGGGAAAAAAAAAGTCTCTCTTCACCTTTTACCTCTGGCACCTCCAATCCTTGCGCCAACGGGGCACCACTCCTTCCCCTCCTCAAGGAAACCCAATATTATTTCCATATTTTTTTTCCAGTTATTTCCATATTAGTGCAAATGAAACCCACTGTGTTCCCTCTGCCAGGGATGAAAGAATGTAGAATAAAATACCACGTTCCCTACTAAAAGATTCTGAAGTCTCAAGTAATAGAATAGCTATAGACATATTTTAGGAGCCTGAGAGCCTTTTAGGGGAAGGGATTATTCCCTTATATCAAAACACCTATGGTATTTATTTTACAGCTTAGAAACAAGGATGGAAAGCTTCTTAATCTTTGCACAATCGGTACCAGGTAGTGAGTTTTACTCTTTATTTTATTTTATTTTATTTTATTTTTTTAAAGATTTTATTTATTTATTTGGGAGAGAGAGAATGAGAGACGAAGAGCACGAGAGGGAAGAGGGTCAGAGGGAGAAGCAGACTCCCTGCCGAGCAGGGAACCCGATGCGGAACTCGATCCTGGGACTCCAGGATCATGACCTGAGCCGAAGGCAGTCGCTGAACCAACTGAGCCACCCAGGCGCCCGAGTTTTACTCTTTAAAGATATGAGTAACTTTTCATAAACATGGGGAAAAAGTAACTATAAGGAAGTGTTTCTGAAGATAGACTATCTCTGTGTTCCTTTAGCGAAAAGAGCTATATTCCTTTCATAAGCCAAGTCAAAAATGTCTCAGTCCTCCTGTTGAAAACATTTTATGTATAGTAAAAATATTCTTGGTGACAGCAGGATTTGGCTTAACCTTGCTCTTTTACTGAATATCTGCACATGGCTATATTGCCTCTGATTCACCTTGTAGCTAAAAATGTAAAGGCTATTTGGAGAGATTATTTTAGAAGAGAGTATTTTCTCCACCATATTTCATCCAACAGATACCCTTTTAAAAAAATTCAAAAACATCTCGTTCAAGGATTTATTTAGTGGATTCTTTCCCAGTAGACTATTGTGATAGCCAATAAAATCTCCAGTTTGAAACTTTCTAGTAGCCGCATATTAATTCATGCTGAGAATTGTAATTTAATCAAACATATATGTTAGAATAGGAAAAGAAAAGAGGGATTTTTCGGGAATTACAGGGTCAGGTTGAAACTAGAAGATGTCTATTTCATCGTTCTAGAATGATGACTGAGTTATATAAAATTTGTGTTTGAAGAGACCTCAGAGAGGTATCTTACCCCAGTATTGCTGAAACTGTGGTGTGCAGGGGAATCACCTGGGGAGCTGGCCTAAAGAGTAAGTTGTTATGCCTCTCCTCTAGGAATTTTGACTTGGTACATCTGAGGTATGGTCCAGAAATACAATTTTTTTCAACTTAATTGAGGTATAATTGACAAATAAAAATTGCATAGATTTAAGGTGTACAACAGAATGTTTTGATGTGTGTAGACATTGTGAAATGATAACCACAGTCAAGCTAATTAACATATTATTCACCACCTCATATGGTTAGGATTTTTATTTCAGGTATATGAAAGGGAACTCAACATCATTAGTCATTAGGGAAATACAAACCAAAACATAATGAGTTACCACCTTACATGTGTTAGAATGGCTCTTATCAAAAAGATAAGAGATAAGTATTGGTAAGGATGTGGAGAAAAGAGAACCCTTATACAGTGTTTGTGGGATATATAAATTGGCTCAGCCACTACAGAAAACAATATGGAGGTTTCTCAAAAAATTAAAAATAGATCTACCATATGATCCAGCAATCCCTCTTCTGGGTATATACGTATCCATAGGAAATGTAATCATTATCTCAAAGAGATATCTCTACTCCCATGTTCATTGCAGCATTATTCATAGTAGCTTAGATATGGAAACAGTATCTCTTCATGGACAGATGAATGGATAGAGAAAATGTAGTATATATACAATGGAATATTATTCAGCCTTAAAAAAGAAGGAAATCTTATCATTTGTAACAACATGGATGAACCAGAAATCTAAAGTTTTTAGAAGTACCCCAGGGCTTCTAGCTCAGGTGGTCTAAGTTCCACATTGTAAGAAGCACTGTTTCAGGGCCATTACTTACACACACACACACATACACATACACACACACACACACACTCTTATTTATCATCTATCATCTATCTATCATCTATCTATCTATCTATCTATCTATCTATCTATCTATCTATCTATCATCTATCTATCATCTATCTATCCTTAGGTAGCTAAATCTTGAAAAAGGAAAATTCTTTACATCACAGGCTAAGGACAAAGGAAGAAATCCTTTACATCCAAAGATGCAGGAGATGGGCACTGAAGTACATCTATGCTTGTCACCTTTCAATCACCATACTGGGGCTGAAGGTTTTGATGCCATGCTCTGCTTAAAGGAGAAAGTGTATTATCTGATGATTTTATAAACTCATATTTTCCTATATAATATGAAAATGTTCTACATTACTTGATATCATTCAGTGATTTTTAACTGTAATTCACTTCTATTACTTATAGTTTTTAAAAAAATGCATATACTCAGTCCCTCCTCTCCACCTCCCTTCTGATGGGAATATCTCCTACAGGGTATGGGAATTTGTATTTAAACAAATATCCCTGAGTAACTTAGCTTTGTGCCACCAATTTGGAACAATTACAGGTCCTTTACTATGGGTTTTTCAGCTTCTTCTATTTATTTTGAAACTGGGAACTAAGATGTTTCATCTACATTTATGTTGGATTCATAAGAATGAAAACAGAATAAATAACATTTTATAGATACAGTGAAAAAGAAGAGTAGGAAGAACATTTGATGCTACATCCAGGCTCAGCTGTGGTCTATAGGGGTGTAGTTAGCTCTTTGTTTCTTTCTTTCTTTTTTTATTTTTAGAGAGAGAGAGAGAGGGAGTGAGAAGTGGGGAGGGGCAGAGAGTGAGTGAGAGAGAATCTTAAGCAGGCTCCATGCTGAGCCTCGATGTAGCGTCAAGTCCCCAACATGGGGCTTGATCTTAGGACCCATGAGATCATGACCTGAGCTGAAATCAAGAATTGGTCACTTAACTGACTGAGCCACCCAGATGCTACTGGGTATTTGTTTCTAATTGTACATCAGTTTTGGTATTGAGCTGAGCCAAGTTTAGTGCCCTGCACATAGTAGAAACTCAATAAATATGACTGGATTATCTCACAAATTTCTTCAATAAACATGAAAAAGATGTTAAACATCCATTTACTAATATCCGATAACTCTTCTTTAATTCATAGCCATTTGTGGATTGGAAGTCTAATGTCTGCACATTCGATGACTTGGATTCATCTCAGGTCACACATGAAGAAAAGTACTGTTTTTCTTTATTACCTTCCCATTAATTGTTTATTGCTCCTAATTATCTGAAAAACTAAGTTATGTATATTTAAGATTTCCCTGCTGAATAGAGCCTGTAGAGCCCAGAAAGGTGATTTGAATATTAAAGGAATTTTATCTACAGAAGAAGAGAGAGGGAGACAAAGAAAGAAAGATTTGCCTTCACATTTTAGGATGGTTCAGAGTAATTCTTCCCAGAAGAAAGGCATGGTTAGAGGATATTCTGAAGTACTCCTTGAATTATGAGTCTACAACTAAGCGGGGCACAGACAAAACTGCATGGCATCACCCTCACTTGAATGTAGAGGGCAGTGTTATTTCTACTCTGCTTACCATTTTCTTAATGACTTGTTTCCATCTCCGTAAAGGAGGGATATCAAATGCTACAAGTTTCTTAAAAATTTTATTTAGAGCATTTTTACATTCTATGTATCAAAAATATATTCTTAGGTCTTTCATTAGCACCCACCACCTGGTTTCAGGCTTCCTGTCCACTCTCCTAAGCCTTCTGTTCTAATCATTATGCTCTCTGTTTCTTAATTACTCAGAAACAATGATTCATTAGTTGTAGCTAAATATATGAATGCTAATGTATATTTACCCATTTGGTTCACAGGAAAGATTTAAAGTCCCAAAGAATTTTCTGGGGCTAACTTTGATAGAAAATGTGTTATGTGATATCCTGTTCAGCATTTCCCAAATACTCTCTAAAGGCTATTTTGAAGGTATCTAATAGTTGCCCTCATCACATGGTCGGTAGAGAAATGCTCTCCAAATGTTACACCTTATGCTCACATAAGGTGCTATCCAATAAAAATGTTGGCTATGAAGTTATGACCATCAAGAATGTGAAGAGCAAGTCTAATATATGTAGGAGATCCTATGCTGTATTTACATTGTTCTTGCATATGAGAAGTGACCAGATGATTCTCCATCACTCCCATTTTTCTTTTGCCTGCATTTTCTTGCTTTTTGTTCTATACCTTTGTTCTTAAGTTTCTTACTTCTTAGAGAATCACAGGATTCTCTTCTATTTCCATAGATTATATTAAAGCAGGGCTAATTTTTAAGCAGATTTATGAGCAGATTCTCAGCAAGAAGAGAGATCAAGAGAAGCACCTTCCCAGTACAGAGAAATCTGACAGTCAAAATGA